CATTTTACCTATAATTCCTGATAAAGCAGCGTTTATGAGCGCAGAAGTGCTTTGTGTACAGCCGTTACCAGGGAAACCGCAATATTTCAGCGCTCCTAAAGCGCCACCTCATGGCAGAGAATGAATTTGCATTTCCAATAAGCCTTTCTTTGTGATTATGGTCAGATCAATGCAAAATATCAACTCATGTTTTTACGCAGCAAACACAGATTTGTAAATGAGAAAGAAGTTAATGTGCCTTCTAAAAATCTAAACAATTAAGACAGTAATATTTATACGTTTTAAATTGACAATTTATATGCTTGATTTATCCCTTTTCATAAAAATGGTCTAAAGGCTGAAATGCTGTTGTATAAGATTTTTGTTTTTGTGAAAACCTGTATCTGAACTGTAAATCATGGCTTGCATGGCTGCAAATTAAATGGCTTTCTCAAGCCAACTTAAAAAGGTTTGAAATCTGTTCCAGCATCTGCTACTAGCTTGTTGCAGCTTTGAAATAAAGGAAAAACTCATGAGCCTAACAGCATGTTGCTTGGCTTTAAAGGGACTTTTTAATGTCACAGAAAAATGTACTAAATCATTTTATTTTTTCACAACCACGTCATATTAGTCCTGATATCAGTGTTAAGCTCCTTCACCCTAACCAGAGCCACAAGCATGCAGTGATGCAACAGCTCTGAAACTAAAACAACTCTTTAAACCGAACCCTTAACAGCACTTAGTGCCTCTGAGAGAGGACGCCTCCTTCTCTTCATTTAAACCAAGAGAAGAGTGACATGACATGTGGCCAAGTATGGTTACCCATACTAGGAATTAGTGCTCTGCATTTAACCCATCCTTAGTGCACACACACAGCAGTGAACACACACACCGTGAACACACACCCGGAGCAGTGGGCAGCCATTTATGCTGCGGCGCCCGGGGAGCAGTTGGGGGTTCGGTGCCTTGCTCAAGGGCACCTCAGTCGTGGTATTGAAGGTGGGAGAGAGCGCTGTACATTCACTCCCCCCACCTACAATCCCTGCCAGTACGAGACTCGAACCCGCAACCTTTGGGTTACGAGTCCGACTCTCTAACCATTAGGCCACGACTTTGATTAAAGTAAAACATGACACATGCAAAAGAGAGATAAAGTGAGCACTTGAATCTAATGAAGGGTCTTTTACTTCCAGAAAAAAGTTGAGAGACACAGCAAAGGAAGTACAAATTTAGTTTGATCCAAACTATAAAGGCCAGAGGCAGTGTGAGGACCCTGACAATGGGTGCAGATAGCAGACCATGTAATACTCATATACATTTACATTTAAATCAAAATTACCCTAAGGGAGAGATTACTTAGAGAAATTAATACTACGCTCTTGGATACTTTACTTTTAGCATAATTCATTATTGGGTTAAAATAGATTCTGATAAAATGACAAAAATAATGTCCATTCGGGCGTTTCTGTGCAGCAGTTTGACAGTGTGGGCGGGACTTACTGCATGACCAATCAGAGCGTGAGCCATCTCATGTCCCAGTATAAATACCAGCTGATGGATGTCTGCTACAGCCTCCAGCATTCCTGTGAAGATGAAGACATTTCCATTCTGACACACACACACACACAATCATTCCAGCTGTGAAATCAGAATAATTTTCTCCTCTAGTAATCAGTCTCAAGATTTTCTTTAATCATCTGCAGTGAATTAAGAACACTTCTCTCTCTTTACGAGAGTACTAAACTGTATGAAGAAATGTTTGTACACGTAGCTAATAAAAACATTGTGCAAAACTGTCTGGGTAATTTCACAAACAGGAAATTCAAGAATGAGGGTTCGATTACAGAGTATCTATATATTTTTATTAGGACTGTCAGTCAATTAATTTTTTTTAATCTAATCAATAACATGATGTAGCGAGTAATTGTTCTAATTAATTGTAAATTAAATTTGGCTGTGAAAAAATACCCACAAAAAATAATTTTAAGCCATTATTGTGTTAAATGAGAAAAGTATCAAGTAGACATTACAAAAAGTAGCTTTAGAAATAAATATTTTATTTGATTCAACATCCCAAGAGTCTCTTCTTTTATGTTCCACAAAAGAAAGTAAGTCATACAGGTTTGAAACGACATGAGGGTGATGAGGGTGAG